CTAATTACTGGAATGCATACTCTCAATAGCTTTGGTATTAATTACTGGACTACACGTGTTTAAACATTTTGTTTTGCTAAAAACTCGGAAGTGATTTAGTACCAATTTGTTTCAAGGTTATATTTAATACAGTGTCTGCAGAAAGTAAAGTCTTGAATAAATTTTATTCAAATTTGGACATACCAGCAACTTGGCAAGTATTTTCCAATTTAAACTGCATGCAAAATCATTTTGATGTCGACAAATATTTTCGATTATTCGAAATATTCCGTCCCACTTCTTTTAACCGCTCTGTATATACATAATATATTCATTTTATTTGCCTTTGATACAGTAAAATCCAATATTGTTACTGAACATAAAATACAGAAAATTAAATAGTTTTACTTTTCAAGCGATCGAAATTAAATATTTAACGAATTAAACGCCCCACTGTTTGAGGCCCACTGATCATATCTTAATTACATATCGGCCTTCATAGGCTAAAAGGAGTTCACAGATTAAGCCAGGATTTGTCTATACCCTGGTTCAAGAAGAGTGAGAATTTGGAGAGGATCTGGTCAATATAAGAGACTCAGGCATGTACAGGGTGTTTATCCATATAGGAGTCTACTAGTTATGATGTGGGCTGGAATAATGTTTCATCATTGAACTGTCCCGTTTTTCGATTTATCTTTGCCTTCATAATAGGCAGTTTCTTCCTTATCGGAGCGATATCTCTCGCCACGGACTATTTTTTTTTTAGTCGGAAAAAAGGTGGTCAACGCTGGGGGCCAGATTTGGACTGGACTATACTGTGTGTGCGTAAGCAATTCAAAACTCAATTCATGCATTTTTGCCATCGTTTTCATCGACTTGTGACACGGTGCATTGTCTTATTGAAACAACAATCTTTTCTTCAACAAATGAGGCCATTTTATTTGCGGTTTTGGTCTTCAAACGCTCCAATAAACCTATATAGTAGTCGCTGTTGATTGATTCTCCATGTTTTAAACAGTCAAAGAAAATAATTCCTTGTGGCTCAAAATATATAGAGGCAGAGAGACGCTGGCCTGTTGCGCCTTTGGTCGATTTTTACGGCTTTCTCCGGGTGTTGCCCACTTAACTAACTGCCCATTTGATTCCATATTTCATCTATTGTGACATACCTATGCAAAAACATGTCAAAATAACGCCAAGATTCATCTAATCGTTGTTGTTTTTGCTCTGGTATGAGAAAACGTGGCATCCATTTGAAAAACAGCTTTTTCATACTCAAATGTTTATAATAGTCAAAATGCTACCTTTTGATAACTTTAGAGTGTGAGCTATCTCTTGCAACTTTACTCAGCAAACCATTGTTTAATAGTTGTAAGTGATGGAGCAGAGTTCGAGTAACACTTTTTGAGACATTGCTCAGTTTGGTCGGTATGTTTTCCCATCAATAACAGTGATAAATCAACACACGAAATTGCTTTGAATCCATTGTTTATAAAAATCACAAAAATACCGTCTCTTCAAGCACTGTAACTCGGTAAATATTCAACAGCGGTAAAGGTAAAAGCAAAAACATTCAATATCTGCTGTTGATGATCGATTTGTAGTGTAGCAAATATTCTGAAATAGGCGTTAAATAGCAGTTAGCACAAAAAACAAATTGAATATGAAAGTTACTTCTACGTAAAGTCCAATAATATGAGATATGATATGAGATATGCGTCCAAAACCGAGATCGGTATGTTCTCAACATTCTGCAAGATGATCTGGTATCTTTTGGGTCATATCTTCTTCTTATTGCGCCATCTTCTTCCGAAGGTTGGCGATCCAAATGGCAATTGTAGCTTTAGAAACTGCTGCACGAAAAATTTCTGTGCATGAGTGTGCATACATTCCAATATGATTTGGAGTAATTCATAAACTTTCACCTCTCAACACAAGACCCAAGTATTGTAATTTTCTCTCTTTGATTATGCTGAATAATTCTTTTTGTTTACTCATGCGCCCAAGTACCTCACCATTGGTAACTTTTTGTATCCATGGAATTCTCAGCATCGTCTGTATATATACATTTCAAAGGCATCTATTCTTTTTTCTGTTTCAGAATCCATTGTCCAACTTTCACAGCCATACAGCAAAACAAAGGGTCATATAATAAAGAAAACGTCCTCTTCCTGCACGATAATGCTCGGCTGAATGTGGCTTGTTGTGTAATCGACTTTATAAACCAAGTGAAAATACCAGCAATTAATTGGCCTAGATATCTAAAGGGTTTGAACATGTTTGGAATAAACTAGGGAGAAGTCTAACGTCAATATTCGATCTATCACAAGGTCAAACTATCGATATCACTAGAATTATGAAAAAAGGAGTAGGTGCACTCATAAGAGCTTGTGAGGAACACATATGTTTTGAAAAAATAGTCGTTGCAATTTTGGTTCATTATGTAATGTTTAAAAGATTTAAAACTATACTACTTTTTTTAAAGAATTTTTCAAAAACACTATTTTAAAAGAAGTTTACACTATTTTTGATTTTATTTTTTCTTTGTATTTTAAAGGTTTTAAAACGACATAACATACATATACTTCAAACACTTCTACCAATGAAGCTATTGTTAAATTCAATGATTATTGTATTGATCAACGAAGTTATAATTCGCTTCGAATATGAAATTGCCATGGAGAACTTCATCAGACTACAAATCCCATAGAGGGATGCCACAACATACTCAACAGATGCTTGCAAAAGCACATCCCAATATAAACTGATAATAAAAGTTCTTCAAGAATAAATACTATTAGTACTAATACTATTAATTGTACTATTACAATAACGTTTTCCAAAATAGTTTGCTTAAATACTCCAAAAAAATATTGTGAATCAGATAGGCGAATAGAAACACTTTAAGTAACCTATGTCAAAATCAACAGTCTTGGTGAAAATATTGGATAAGTTGAAATATATTGGATAAGTTGAAATATATTGGAAAATATGATTAGGGCAATTTAATGTATATTTCGTTTCATTTTTAATTCAGCATTATCCCAAGTTTAGTTTAAGATACATTATTTTTTATTTTTAGTAGTAACACATATTTTTGCTGGCAAATTTTTCTTTTAATTTTTAATTAAATTGCTATATCATCACAACTTATTTATTTTTAAAATTCCACGAGGAAACTAAGTTCCTGTAGCTGGCTGTATACCATATATCACAAAAAATTTTTTATTTAAAATTCTTTATAAAAGGTATATAAAATTTTTATATACCTTTTATAAAGGATTTCAAACAAAAATTTTTTTATTCATTTTATTTTAACTTTTCCTTTATACAGTGAACGGCTAAATTATGGAATATTATTATTATTTCGAAAACCGTCGAGTTTTGAGGGAAATCCCGAAACAGGTCGATTTTTGTTATAAAATATCCATCTTCTAACGTACATGGAGTAGGGATGACGTCACCAGTGTGGGTGGTAGTGACGTAATCGTTATTTTTTTTTTAATAGAAATCGCTATAATGCGACACCTCATTTGAAGGAGAATTTAATTCTCTATTTAACGACTTTACATTTTTAACTAAAATATTTTTTACAGAACGGTACAGAACGATTTTTTAAAATTTAAATTCAACTAAATTACAACCAATGATTAAATTCATAATGTACTTTAAAGTAACCAAATTATGCATAACAGTTATTTTAAATTAAATATTCGAAATGCCATCCATCGGTTTCTTGACAATATGCTAATCTACGGACACATTCATCAAGTATATTGCGGATGACTTCTGGAGTAATTAGACTCATTTCATGCCTAATTCTATCTTTCAAGTCCTGTAAGTTTTGAGGTATATTGGCATAAACTTCTGATTTTATGTACCCCACAGGAAAAAGTCTAGAGGTGTTAGATCTGGCGAACTTGCTGGCCACTCTATAAAACCTCGTCTTGCGATTCACCTCCTGGAAAAGCAGTGATTTAAAAATGGCAATTCGAACATTTAATTTAAAGTAACTGTTATGCATAATTTGGTTACTTTAAAGTACATTATGAATTAATCATTAGTTATAATTTAGTTGAATTTAAATTAAAAAAAATTGTTTTTGTATGCTTAAATTTTGTATCCTTAAATTTAAAAATGTAATGCCGTTAAATAGAGAATTAAATTCTCCTTCAAATGAGGTGTCGCATTATAACGATTTCTATTTAAAAAAATTAACGATTATGTCACTACACCCACACTGGTAACGTCATCCCTACTCCATGTACGTTATAAGATGGGTATTTTATAACAAAAATCGACCTGTTTCGGAATTTCCCTCAAAACTCGACGATTCTCGAAATAATGATAATATTCCATAATTTAGTCGTTCACTGTATACTATAGTACAAAACTAAGATAATATTTTAAGATTCTCTATTTAGTTTTATACTTAATATGCATAAGAGGAGAATACACATTGAATTGGATCAGAAAAATGGAAAATTCCAATATGATATTTCTTAGTGTTTAATCTATGTTGATTATGTGGTTTTGCTACGAATAGAGAAAATAAGTTCGAACTACGCCTGGAACTGTAAAGAACGGCTCGTTAAGAAAAATGTTTACAATTTAGTAAGATAAAATTAGAATATCTAGTATGGTAACTCTTTTGGATAAATTAAGAGAGTAAGAACACGCAATAAAAGGCATTCGATGAATAGAGTCACTGATTGTGAAATTCCTGGAAGCAGTACGAAAAGAAGACGAAATAAGACGTGGTAGTAGATGCTTAAACAGCACTTGGGTCTATGTTAACCAAAGACAGGAACATACGAAAAATTGTAATAAGGCAGGCCAATCCCACATATGGATAAAAGCAATGAGACCTCTGTATAATACTGCAGTGCTGCAACAGTTAGCCAACTTTAATAACACTGGAATATAAGATATTGTTAAGGTTCAACTGTAAAGAACATAGAGCTGGTACTTTTATATTTCCTATGTATAGTACTTACTCTATGTCTGATATTAATTGAAAATTATACGAAAATTTCTATCGAGAACACAATTATACTAGCAGTTATACCAACTAAATAGATAAAGAAAGTAGATCGTAGTGTTCCTAATTGCAGATTCGAGTACTTCAAAACTTTTTTGTTTTGTGCCAATATTATAGCCTTTTCGTATTTTTTATCGTGGGCTCTACATACATGTCTGATAAAGCCAGCTTCTATAAGTAAAAGTATATTCTTGTTAAATTTTTCAAACATAGGATGTCCTTTACGAAAAAGGATACCAAAATGGAAAGGAACCACATGAGGGTCTTTGATAAGATCTATAAGCGGTCTTCCTTTTGAATCCAAATAAAATGTTGGTGTCAAGGATCGCACTGCTTTGATCAAACGTTTTGTTACAATGTCTTTATTGAAAGCTACTCTATCTACGCATGCTCGAAAACTAAAACAATTTACAACGCGGTCATTTGCTGTTAGAGATGAATCAAATACATTTTGTGACATCTTAAATAGTTGAACAAACGATTCACCAGGCATACCAAGTTTCAAATTGGACTTCAAAATATCTTCTTTCGATTTAATTAATTGGATCGATAAATCTGTCTTCATGATATCAAACATTTTACTTCTATAAATAGTCGTAAATAAGAGACTAAAAAATATAAACAGAGTTAACAAAAGTTTTAGTGAGGCAGTTCTAGCGTTAATTCCACCAATGCTTCCCAAAAGAATTCCTAAAATAATTTCAAACACAGAGAAATTGCTTTGATAAGGAAACATTAGATTGATGAGTTGTAGAAGCACGTAAAAAAATAAAACCACCACAGAAAAGCATATCCAAATTGTGTTATCAAATTCTCGATAAAAAATTTGCCATTCATCGTTAACAATAATTCTGGGTATTACATACACTGATACATCTTTTGTAAATGTAATGGTCTTATCAAACTGGAATGTTTGGTTCATGAAAGGCATAGAAGAAAAATCATACATATTTTGTTTAAACTCGGGTTCCGCAGAATAAGGGTTAACTGGATATTGCGATTCTACATAATTAATATTTACATGCAAATATGATGCAACCATGTTGATAACTTCCACGTGAATGCCTTCTTTAGGACTTACAACAAAAGGAGGAAAAGGTCTCCATGTCACGTCTAATTTAGAAAGCTTCAGACTTCTTTTTTCGAAAAAATCATTCGTATTTCTCATCTGTAAGCATGATTCCCCGATGGGGAAACATGTGTGGGATGAACATGTATATAACTGAACGTCTTTCCTATTAAGAATTATTATAATCTTAAGAAAGAAGTATTTGTTAAAAATTTCTACGTGAGTTGTATTAATTTCGTTCATGATGAATATAAATTTAGCTCTACTGTTTAAAATCATTTTATCAAAAAGACTTTTTACAACTTCTGATATATTTCCTGATATAATATACAGGGTAGGTTCTAAATAATGAAATTGTCTAATCGGTTGTTGAGTATTTATATAAACAGAGGGATAACCAACTGTGATATTTGTATTTATCAAATAAATAATGTCAGTTGGTAGTATTGTAGATATAACAATATTATTAATACAACTTTCAATATCATTATTATATCGTTTTGAAAGAATAAATACAGAGTCTGCATACATTTTACAGAATAATATATAAACCATTATCATAATGAATTGCAAATTGTTCTTCATCGCTTCGTGGTAAACAAGTAAATGTAACTTAATACCCAATATGATTCACAACTGTCCTAAGTAATACTTAAAAATGAATAAACAAAAAAACATTAAATAATTGAAAAAATAATCGTTATAATTATAAAAAGATCTAATCTAATGAAATATTTTGTATTATACTTGAAACGCAAACAAAAAGATATTTGGACGAGAACATTAATATAATCATATATATTTTAGGATGGTGAATAATGTAAAGTACCTAGTGGAATATAAAACACATAAGTAATTCGTAAAAATTCTGTCTTTTAACTAAGTTTTCGAATATTTCTTGCGATTTCAATGGAACTAAATAATTATACCAGTTATTGTAAATGTTTATAAGCTTAAAAAGTGCTATTAATTACTAAATCATTTTGTGTACATAAATGTAATTTTTTTAACCTTTTATTTAGAGGCGATTAATATACGTCTTAACAAAAAAATAAGCCCCGGATTATTGAGATATATCCAGTTGAATTGTTGTTTTTAAAAAAATCTTATACACAAATCTAATTTGGCAAAACTCTTCAATCCATCTGATCCATCTTTTGCATACAAATTAAATACGGTAAGATCCTTAAGTTCAGATACATTTAAACAAATTTTAATAATAAAAATGATTAAAAACAGTGAATTTGTTGTTTATTTTGCAATAACTTATTTGAAAATAATTAGTTCATATCCAGTGTACTTTTTCGGTTTCACGTCTATTTGTATTTTCTGATGAACTTCAGCAGTACAATAATTATAATAAATTGAACAATGTGATGGAAGTTTAATCTTCGAAGATTCGCTTCTATGTGAAATGTAAACTGCACAACCTGTGGCACCATCCTCTTTTTTTTGAACCATCGGTAACATTATTTATTTATTTTTACGCACAACAGGCCGTTAAGGTCTAGGCCAATTTTTGTAAACATAATCCTAATATTAACTAATTACAATTATTTTAATTACTAATTACTTACTAAAGTGGAACTGGGCAGGTCATGTAGCAAGATAAGTTGATGACCGGTGGACAAAAAGAATTTTGGAATGGAGACCCCGAATACAAGCTTACAGAAATAGAGGTCGACCCCCAACGAGATGGACAGATGACATAAAAAGAGTGACTACAAATTGGATTCAGATGGCGCAAAATCGGACTAAGTGGAAAAGCATGCGAGAGGCCTATGTTCAGCAGTGGACGTTAGAGGCTAGTTGATGAAGAGTTTATATGTGGAGATTCTGTGAACTTTGGAATAATTACTTTTGGTGTATTTAATATTACCTGAAACAAGGTTTTATATATTGGTAATATTTTTTCTCTACCATAGAGTAGTTAATAGTCGTTATTTTCTAAGTTAGCTCACAACGAGGTACCGACTCTCACTCCGACCATAGGATCGTACCATATTATAGATCGCCAGGTAAATAAATGCATTATTTTAAATGCGAGCGTTCACTGTCAGTGCTATGCTCTAGGCGAGGATACCATGCGATGGTCTCCGTTAGGAACGTACCCTAAGGGTGCGTTCATTTGTTTTTTGCTTACCATTTTTGGGTTATAATATTTGTAATAAATATATCAACTAATAAATTTAATAATCTTTATTGTGTATGTTCAACATAAAAAAACATTTAATATAAATTTATGTCCAACGTATAAAAATGAGAAGTACAGATAAACATATTTTAATATCTACCACAAGATTAGAAATATTTTCATAACTGACATTAAAAAATATTTGACTATACCAAATTTATTCATTTTGGAATTTGCCCCATTCCATAATTATATTGGGTTACATGAAGCAGAACAACTAACCCAGGACAGGGAAGGATGGAGGGTAATCGTAAAAAAACTGTGAAGGCCTGATGGTGTCACCACATAAAGGGATTAGGACTGAGAAGGAGGATAATTATATATTTATATACTATAAAAATTATGATATGTCTAGCTCTATTTAACCTGCTTTACCTAATATCCTCTCTAGGTGGGAAATATTCGATAAAAGGAACACTAAAATTATAAATTTTTAACTTGTATTTAACATACTTGAGATGCTGAAAACAAAGCAAAATCAGTTAAAATACTGTAGTATAGTACATTCGACAATGATTTATAGCAAACATTTTATTGCATGTGAGATAAAACCCAATATAGCATCATAAAACAGTGACGGAAATTTTCTAAAATAAAATATTCATCATTGTTCTGAATATGTTTGGGTTTTACCTAAAATTTTTAAACATGCCAATTTATTTCAATTCTTGTCTTAAATTTAGTAGTCATTTTAATATATAAGTACGTAATTTCTATAAGTACAAAATATTTACCATTTCCAGAAAGGAGAGGGAAAATTTATAAGCCCTTAACTTTCTTAGAAAGGATTAAAATTTCCAAGCGGCAGAACGTGTTTTGCAGATTGTGAATCATTTAGTTAAACTTAACAGGTTGTGTTTTGTAAAGTTCTATGATTATAATACGCAGAACTGTTAGTTCTATAATAAAAAGCGATATTAATAAGTGAATTAATAGGTATAGTAAAAATGTCACAAACGTCTCATTTTACTCCTCTGAAATTAAAGTGTCATTTACTAGTGCCAATGAAAAGTGTTAAATGTACATGATGAAGCTCTTATATAAGAACATTTTACAAGTACTGCTCGGAGTACAATTTCTAAAATTTTCAGATATGACCAAAGGTATATAGACGGTCATATAGAAGATACTGTGAAATAAATAATCTATTCATGAAAACATGGATAAATGAAGAGCATTTTGTAAAAAAGTTTGGCAAGAAGGTTATAAATGCTCGTCAGGAATTTATAGAAGGTTTGTCTATGGATTTAAGATTTCCAAATAGTAAAGGTCGCCGTTTAATTATCACTCATATTGGAACAGATAAAGGATTTGTTGATACGACAACGAACTACCATGCAGAAATGACTGCATGGTAACCAAATCCGAAAGGTAGAAACATATTGACGATTACTATTTTTATTATTTTTATTTACAATTATCTGTTGTAAGTATGTGAACTTTTATACACTTATATTGAATGACACTTATATGACAAATCTATAAAGAATTATACCTATCGGATAGTCAGGTGGCATTAAAGACACTGGGATCGAATCAAATTGACTCCAAGTTAGTTTGGAAGTGTCTTCAGAATATGATTCGGAACGGAAAAAGTAACAAAATAAGGTTACTCTGGGTGCCTGAACAAACTGGTATTGGAGGAAACGAAGAATCAGAATCATCATAGTTGCCAGGAGTTGGGTAATCACTCACAAGCCCAGAACCGTTGGTATAGCACGAAACAGTCGAAAGAACGATATTGGACTGGATGGAGCAGATGAAACGTAACCACTGGTACAACCAAATTTGTCTCAAACACATGAAGGCTTTTATATATGAAACTTCGAACAAGAGATCCATAGATCTATTAGATATGAATAGGAATGATTTGAGAATTATCGTAGGTCTCCTAACAGGACACTGTCGTTTTAAGGAACATATAGACAAAATCGAACTGACAGAAAATACGAATTGCAGATTGTGATGACGAGACTTTGATGAATAGAGGAAAACTTTAACTAAGACATGAGCTACAATAGACTTCTTAGGTGGATGACACTCATATTAAACCTAACCTAACCTAACCTCCTATGAATTTTCGTTTTTTCATCACAAAAACCAAATAATTGATGGGATAGAGTAACTGTATTCATTGCATGGATTACAGGTCTCAAGTTCTTGATTAGTTTATGTGACAGTTTTAACATAACTGTGTGTGGTTAGCGTCTTTGGGACAAATATCTAACTAACACTAATAACTGTAGCCCAAATGCTAAACTATTTTGAGGAGCTCAAGCAAAACTAAATTTTCGGGAGGATTAACAAAGTTGGACCACCTATTCTCGAAGCGGAAGTAGAAGCTGCTATAAACAACATTAAGGAGGGAAAAGCCGCAGGACCAGACGAGTTCCACTCAGATCTTTTTTTAAATTATGGATAAAGACGAAGTAAAGAGACTTACCTTGATCTTCAATAATATATACCAAAGTGGAAAAATACCCCAACAGTGGCTAAGATCAACTTTTATAACAATCCCTAAACAACATAATGCCAAAAAATGTGAAGATTATCGAATAATAAGCCTTACCAGCCATCTACTGAAAACGTTTTTAAAAATTATACATCAAAAAATATATAAAAAGTGTGAAGAACAGATGAGAAATACACAATTCGGCTTCAGGAATGCATTGGGTACTCGAGAGGCACTTTTTGTAATATAAGTTCTCTTTCAAAGATGTAGAGACGTGAATTGTGATAAATATGTGTATTTTGTTGATTACCAGAAAGCGTTCGATCGAATAAAACATGACGAACTGATGAAAATATTAAATTCAATTGGTCTAGACAGAAGAGATCGTATAATAAACAATATCTATTACGAACAAACTGCGACAGAGATGTATATTGTCCCCTTATTGTTCAA